GACAGGGCTCGACAGTGCGAGCGTTTCACTCGCATTTGCGACTAAAAATAGGTGTGTGTGAACTGTAAAAAATATTTAGGGGCACGTGTGCTCATAAAAAAATCAGCCGAAGCAGCCTATATTTTTGTAAATAAAAAAATATGATAATCTAACCGCAAATGTTGGAGGAACTCCAGCCGCCTTCCCTCTTCCCTCTTCCCCATGTGACACGGTTAAGAACCACACCGCCCGCGGAAGCGCCGCGAATAGCCTCAAAGCGCCGAGAAGTGAAGCCAGTTTCCTTTCAGCGTCCATGTTAACCGATTGTGTCATCCACACCGGCCGCACGGCGCAGCTCCGCCGCCGGCCCTGCAGCGAACATTGCAGCGTCTGGTCTATTTTCTGCGCGAGCCGCGAGCTAATGTGTCAAGCTAGGTAGTTACCCATGATGGAAAAACAGCCCCAAATGTGACGAAGACAACAGCTGGGAGCAGAACCGCTTGTCGACCAGCATGGAGAAATGCGCGTCTGATGTGAACGGAAGTGCTCTGGCTCGCGGGAGAATTTCGGTGCGCTGCGCTTCGCAGGCAGGGCAGGCCCTTGCGTTATGGCCGGTTTTCCAAGCCACTGTCGGCACAGTGAATAGGCCTATAGTCCCACTGTCGGCAGCGTGGAAATAAGTCAAAGTGTGGAGGAGACGGACCGGGAAAAGCGGCGGACCTCCGGGGAGGCCTGCTCCGTTCTCCCCGCAGTTAGGGACCGTTCGCCATGGTACCGCTGCTGGGCAGGGTGGAAATAAGTCCTGCAGAGTTTCAGAGGACCTGGAGAATGTTTTAGGATAGTAATAACATCAGTGTTTCCGCTACATTCGTTATTATTGCCATCGCTGCTGCTCCTTTAAAACATTTTTGCAAATGCACCACCACTCTGAGACATCTGTGCACTTGCACAGCGCAGCAGCCAGTATAGTGAGGAGAACAGCAGTGAGGGGAGTGGGGGAAGGCTCCTATTTAGGGATGCACCGAATATATTCGGCCGAATATTGCAAAAAACAAAACAAAAAAAAAACACACATTCTGTATTCGGTGGAATAAGTGAAAAGCAAGGCCGAATAATAGCGGCGTGTTTTGATAACGCAATCAAACAGCGTGCAGTGACGGACAGAGTAAAATGTCGGCAGTGAGGCGATAAACAATAACGGCGAATCCCGCCGGTTGTGAGTTGAACGGGGGTCACAGACATGGACAGGAATACCTATTCCTGTCAAATACGGCGGCGCATTATAACAGCTTACCGGCGAAGAAGTCCGGCTCCAGGTGAATAACTTGTTGTCATGACTGCCCAAAAGTACCATGGCGGCATGTGGCGTATCAGAGGAGAAACTTTAGGGACTGTTCGTTACTTATGAAGGGACTTGTCAGGGGAGGAGCGTGGCTGGTTGATTTTTATTTCATTTATTTATTTTATTTTGATCCCCCCTATGTTAATCACTTATTGATCCTGTTTTTGAAGTATGAATAAGTCAGTAAGTAATTTATTCCATTGAAATATCAGTGATGTATTATAGAAAAGTGATTTATCTTTTTATAAATGACAAAAGGCACATCTGCCTCAGAACCATGATACTTTCACTGGTATTGTACCATGGGTCCCAATTGAGGGATGAGGAAACACTGAACATTATAGACTATAAGATAATCATCTTGCAAAGATAATATATATAAGATAATAACATTAAAGACAAAATTAAATCACAATATTTTTTCAAAACTTGATGATTTTACCTTTCTGTACATTTTGTATACAAATTCATTAAATAATTTTGCTTGTCTATTTGCATCACGTTTATTACGGAAAACACATTATTTGATCAATTTACATTGTGCCCCTAAAGTTCTTTGTGCGCTCCTTACTTTTTCAACTTAGGAGCACATGTGCTCCTTGGGAAAAAAGTTAGCTTCAAGCCCTGAGGGAGGTGTTGCAGGACACAAGGGTGCCTGGACAACCTTGCCTGACCTCAGATAAGTGGAGGAAAATGGATGGATGGATGGAGATAGGAGGCCACTCTGAGTTCAACTGATCTCAGCTTAAGCATGTGAAAACCTCTTGCATGTGGCTTGGCCAAAGACAGTGAGGTTTAGTGTCCATGCTACTTTGAAGAACCCATCCAAAGGAGTCTTTCTCTCTGCCTGACAGACATGTTACCATTGTCTGGACAGTATTAATGGATCCTCATTAGTTAGGACATGCCTGTTTGGGTAAAGATGTTATTGCCATAAAATGGTAGTGACACGTCGCGCACAAACAAGGAGATCATGCCCGAATGCGCAGACAGACAGACAAAGAGACAGATGGCATCTTGAAGGTCCATTTTTGCCTCCATGTCTCTCTGTACAATCTGCACAGGTTCACGTCTAATTAGGAAATCTACAAATACATGGAACAAATACAGACACATAATAAAAAGGGGCAGCAACAGATGTATGTTGGTACTTCTGCAAAAGCTGTAAGGTTATTAAAGTTGCCCTGTGGTGTCTTTGACCTCAAACTGCACTGTGGGACAACATTTTACAAGTGGGTCCTTGTTTTATTTATAATGTATCGATGCATGTGCACAAGAAAAAACAATGATCCATATTATTTTATAATTTGTCTTTTATCATTCATTATCATTTCTTTTTTCAGAGTGCTCTGTTTTTGTTTGTTTGTTTGTTGTTATTTTTTTATTTTGTGTGTGTGGCTGTTCCAAGATCTTCTAGTTGAAAATCTGTGACCTTTTTAGAAAGGTGCTGGTAACATCAGTGCCACTACTGCAGGACATTTTAGTCATAAACTATCACAGTGAAGACAGGAAAGCCCATCTGTAGGAGCACATCGACCGTAAACTTCATGTTGCTGGTGAATGTTGTGATTTTATCAGTGTACGCATTGTAAACTTGTTGTTAACTGTGTAACTATTTTAGATACCTGGCTAACATTAATGACAGGATACTGTTGTCATGGAAACAAAACCCCCACATATTGTGTCATTGAAAAAAGGGGGTGGGAGGGCCTTTTTATGAAGCGCTGGGATGAAGTGCTCCCCAGTGCCCTGCCAACACTTTTCTGCTGAAGAAAAATGCTATGTGGACAAACACCCAAACACACCAACAAATGAGGCAATGTACAATGTGTGTACAAGAAAACTCCACTTTGCAACTTTAAGTAGGCTACTCTCCATTGCTGATGTGTACCAGTTTAACTGAGTATTCATGTTGTAATGACTCCCTTTTCCTCAATAACATTTCAGAGGCAATGTTGTGCATCATACTCCACTATATTTCTACAGGTTTTCCCTCTTTTCTTTTTTTGAAAAGACCAAATGCAGTATGCAAATGCAGTATTCTTACACGATGGTAAAATGTTGCTTCAAAGCAATCTGTTACTGTAAATACTAAGTGACATTTGTAATTCAATCATTTGTGCCTTAAACCAGATAAATAACATCTCGGACTGATTTTAGACAGAAAAGAAAATTATCTAAAAGTATCAAAGCAGCTTTCCAAATCCACAGTGTGTAATCTGTGTGTATAATTACAGAATGAACACTCTCCCACAGCAACCCTGTGGTTAAAAGTACCAAAATCCCATGGGATTATACTGTATAGTCAGGAGCAACTCTGACTGTATTTGTCTGTTCACTGGAGTTATTCAGATTTGACACTTAGCAGTAAGTGAATATGGTTGTATTCAGGTAAAACCTCCAAAATATCAACTTTTCAAGTCCCTCAAAACAGCCTTGGTCCACCTTCACTTTTAGACATTATTGTCTTTTTTTCCTCCCTTCTGTTCTTCTTAAACTCACGGAAAAACATGAAAATCCTCAAAACTGGAGACACAATGCTTTCACCTGGGAGCAAAAGTTAACAGGACTCCTCATGACTGTCAGCAGGGTCCAAGCTACCACTGAGTACACTGAGGTCATGTGCTCTTTATTCTTTTTTCCTAGGTGTGTACTGATGAGTATTGTACAGGTTGATTCCAGTAATACAGTCATCTAAATATAAAAATATTCAGTATGCCCCCACCACATACTGATGCATACTATCAGTCAAGATCACTTTGAATAAATAGAATAATGTATATACTGTGTGCCACTCTGTTCCTCCATCACCAGAGACAGGTGGAGCGCAACATTTCCCGCTACAATGTAACACACATGAAGACATCAGAACAAAGTTATTTACAAAAATTAAATGTAAACTCCAAGATGTGGACACACTCTCTGACCAGACTAAAATGACACATCTACTTGGAGAAAATAGTGTCAGTGCCATAGATGCAGCAAGATATGTCTGCCTAAGAGACAACCAACACAACACATAACAACTGGAGTTCATCTCCTCAAAGATTACACTCTGCCTTTTTATCTAGCCCTACATTTCACAAGTTTTCTTTGTTTACAATTTACGTCTATGATTTTGTATTGATATGTTAATTGTTTCTTTACTGATCTTAAGCAAACTTACTTACAGTATATATACAGGACACCTACAATACACACAACAACAACAATAACAACAACATATAAAAGCCGGAGTTTATCTCCCTACAGCTCACAGTCTGCTTTTTATTTATTCCTCTACTCCATTTTGTTTGTTTGTTTGTTTGTTTTCACACACAAAACCATAAAACGTGTTTATAGATAAACATATATGAAACATATGACATATGTACATATGTATGTATGTATGTATGTATGTATGTATGTATATGCACTATAGCTATATGTTTTTATATTTTGCTCATTCATTTAATGACCTGTTTTGCTCTGTTGTAAATTGTATTCACTACCTTTTAAATGTATTTGTGCTTTGGCAACACATGTTCAATGAAGCCTGTTGAACTGAAGAGAACTGAATTGTGTGTGTGTGTGTGTGTGAGAGAGAGAGAGAGAGAGAAAGAGAGAGAGAGAGAGAGAGAGAGAGAGAGAGAGAGACCTACAGTAGTTATGGCACCTGCCCTGCTCCAGATGTAGTGGGTAAAAGTACCTCTAGAAAGATAGAAAGATAAAAACAAAGATTCCCTTCGGAGGCACCGTCACCTCCTCCAGGATTCTCAGGTAAGATGGTCCTGATGAGAGTGATGCTGTCGGTGTCTCTCTGCCTGCTGCTGACGTCCATCGCCTCGGGCTGTGGACCGGGCAGGGGGTACGGAAAGCGGAGGCACCCAAAGAAGCTGACACCGCTGGCTCTGAAACAGTTTATCCCCAACGTGGCAGAGAAAACCCTGGGAGCCAGCGGCAAGTACGAAGGCAAGATCACGCGCAACTCGGACAGGTTCAAGGACCTGACTCCCAACTACAACCCCGATGTCATTTTTAAGGATGAGGAAAACACCAACGCAGACCGACTCATGACACAAGTAGGTAACATCTGTTTCATTCGGATTGAATTATTATTCTCTTAATAAGAAGGAACAGGCGGATGTCAGGTGTGAAGCGGCTCAGAGCGCATCGCTCTCTTTCTATTAGCCTACCGGTGAAACGTGGGGTCTGCTTCGTTTGGGTTTCTCCTGTCGAGAGCACGCAGGGCTCTGCGTGTGTGTGTGTGTGTGTGTGTTTAAGCAGTAGTCTATATAACAAGACGGGAGTCTTAACTTTTATTATCACCAATTAACAGATTTCCTTCCCTGTTTTATAGCCTACTTACTAGACCCTGACTGCATATTTTTCGTTAATGTATTATTTATTTTAATTTGGGTAAGCAAACATCTACAAATTTATCAATCTCTTATTTTTCTTTACATCCATAAACTTGGTTTTACTAAAAAGAGATTAGTTTTTCATTGTGCATCAGAGCTCTGCTTAATTTTAAATCTAGAATTTACTAATATTAGATTTATTGAATCTGTTGAAGAACCTTTAAACAAATCAGATGCTGTAACACAAGATGACATGTTGTACATGATAGAGGCCATAGGTTTCATTATATCTCCTGCAATATCACATACAGTATGCCAACATTCAAAAGAAAACAAAAAAGAAAAAAACAAGTTATTTATCTGGAGAGAAATCGCTGTTCAGCTGTTGCAATACAAAGTGGAAAGAGTGGAAATATAAACATGAGATGAAGCCAAAGTGATCACTAAATATCTATATTAAACCATGACCAAATAACGTCAAACAAATCAGCATGGCTCCAAATAATATGTTTACAGTAAGTGATGTGATGGTTACTTAGTTTATTATAACTAGTTTTGTTTGTGTTGGCCATCATTTCTATCAGTTAAGTACGATTATACTCACCAAGTAAATTGCAAAGACCTGGGATGTCAATAATATAAATATAACATGTCTCTCCCTTTTCAGAGGTGTAAGGACAAACTGAACTCTTTGGCTATTTCAGTCATGAATCAGTGGCCCGGAGTTAAACTTCGAGTCACAGAGGGCTGGGATGAGGACGGCCATCACTCTGAGGAGTCTTTGCACTATGAAGGCAGAGCGGTGGACATTACCACCTCAGACCGGGACAAGAGCAAGTATGGCATGCTGTCCAGGCTGGCTGTGGAGGCGGGCTTTGACTGGGTCTACTATGAGTCCAAAGCCCACATCCACTGCTCTGTGAAAGCAGGTGGGTGGATCAAACCTGACCTGACTTTAAGACACAGTCCCAATCCATCATGTAGTAGATTCTGAGATATTTGACTGGATTACTGAAAACTAGCTAGACTAGCTGGTGCCAAACAAAAAGTCCTCATCCTGACTTTATATAGTGAGAAACTTTATTGAAATAACGGGGACTGTCTTTGTGTCACATTTGATGTAATTTTTTTTGTTGTTGTGTGCCATCACACCCTTTGTGTAAAAAGACCTTTAGCATTATTTTAGCAAGTAGTAAGGTATGACCTGCTACATCTGACACTAGGCTCCTCAGCAAGACACTTCAGGTGCCTCAGAAACAAAATAGTTAGAACAATTTTCAAAGGACTTTTTTTTTTCAGGAGACTTCATGTAGTCCCTGGAAAAACATTCTTAACAAAAAAAAGAAAGAAAAACTTTTTTTTTTAAATCATTACTTTCATTTATATATTTATTGCCTCATGTATTTATTTCAGGATCTATTTCATAGGCATATTTATTTATTTATTATTTACTAAAATGACATTCCGTAATTATAAATGCATCATAAATAAATGTATTATAGGAAAATGTCCAGCTGAAGTCCATTCTGTTTGTCAAAAGAAGTTGAAAATAAAAATATGAACTAAAACAGTCACTTCAAATTCAAATAAGATTGCCATTTTCATGTAATTGGGTTGTCCGTCCGTCTGTCTGCCTCATCCCTGTTAACATGATATCTCAAGAACACCATGAGGAAATTTCTTCAGATTTGGCACAAATATTTGCTTGGACTCAGTTATGAACTGATCAGATCTTTTCTGGTCAGAGGTCAAGGTCACTGTGACCTTGCATCTGTCTCATTCTTGTGAACACGATATCTCAAGAACACCTTCAGGGAATTTCTTTAAATTTGGCACAAATGTCTTCTTGGACTTACAAATAAACTGATTAGAATTTTGTGGTCAAAGGTCAAGGTCAGTGTGACTTCACAAAATATGTTTTTGGCCACAACTCAAGACTTCTTTTGCTAATTATGACAAAAATTCCCACAAATGTCTACTAGGATAAAATAATGAAGTGATATTTTATATCCAAAAGGTCAAAGGTCAATTCACTGTGACATCATAATGTTCTGCAGAGAACAGTTTTTGGCCATTACTCAGTGTCATATTTCAGGAACAAAAGGGGAAATATTTGGTCAGATACTGGATTGGTGACTGTAATCTTTGGTGCCCACCTTAAATCTGTGCTGATTGTACTGATCTTCTGTGTTACTGGCGGAAAGATGTGTGTGAAGCGTCCATGTTTTCACAGACATGTATGTAAACTAAGAGAAACTTGACAGGTGTGCTGAGGCATACAACCGCAAGGCAGTAACTCAACTAGTTTACAATATTTTTCACATTATTTTGTAGCATTGCTCAGAGAAAACATCAGTTGTTCCAATGCCTATAAACAAGGCTGGACTACGCTTTGCACTATTTTATGCATATCCCAGTCTTTATAGTAACCCACTCTACTAAATGTATATATCAGCACTAGTAAGTGTTACTGTTGCAATCTTGCAGAAAACTCTGTGGCAGCGAAGTCTGGAGGTTGCTTCCCTGGTTCGTCCATCGTGATCCTGGCAGACGGACGGACTAAACCACTGAAGGAGCTCCAGGTGGGAGACAAGGTGCTGACTGCTGACCAACAAGGAAATGTTGTTCCCAGTGACTTTCTCATGTTCATGGACCAGGACCAACAGATTATCAGAGAGTTCCATGTCCTGGAGACTGACGAGCCTCGCTGCAGACTGACACTGACTCCAGCTCACCTTGTCTTTGTTATGAACAGCAACAGTACCAACAGCAGGGACATTAAGGCCGTGTTTGCCAGTGATGTAAAGCTAGGACAGCGGCTTCTTGTTGTTGGGAAATACCAGCCCGACCGCCTCATTCCTGCAAGAGTGACAAGAATTCATGTGGAGAATTATCAAGGGTCTTATGCGCCTGTAACGTCTCATGGAACTATCATAGTTGACTGGGTTTTGGCGTCTTGCTATGCAGTGGTTGAAGATCATGACCTTGCACACTGGGTTTTTGTGCCAGTCCGACTGTGGCGCTCATTCTTGTCGCTGGTTGGGATGGTGAAAGAGCTCAGCAGTGTATACCAAACAGACGGAGTCCACTGGTACCCAGAGCTCCTCCACCATGTGGGAAGTTGGATTTTGGACAGTAGTTCTTTTCACCCACAAAGCTGAGATTTATATAGCTTTGACAGACTGAACATTCACAGCAAATTTTTTCATCAGCATTTTTTTGGTCTTACCTAAGGCTGAACATTAAAAAATGCTTTTAAAGTTGATAGAGATCACTTTCTACACATCCTCTTTGAGAGAGCGCACACAGATGTTACTTTTTTTTTTTTCAACATGTTTTAGTATCATTCAGGTTTATCACAACTTGGCTGTGATTTTTGTAGTTTTGACCAGTGTTCTTTACATCAATTACATTGTGCTCACAAAAAGTACTGCTGAGATCTGGGAACACAGTGACACTGCTATAAGTTAGCCAGATATGGCAAGAAACACATTTGCCTTTGTTTTGTCTTCCAAGTGAGTTTTTTAAGCTGTAAATCGGAATCAACCTTTTTAAACACAGAAGTCAGACAATAACACAAACAAAACAACCAATCAAGGCAGCGGAGGATGCCTGTGAGGTAAAATTGTTGTTTTTGTCAAAGGCATCTGGTGGCTTTGAAGAGAGTGATATAACAGCTTCAGTTTCCTGTCAGAAGGGGCTGTCTGATGACAAGGTAAAGTGGTGAAAATGTTCTACATATAGCGTGCACTTAAACTGATACTGATGTTTTTAGATGGCTATAATACGTTTTTCTGCTAACCCCCACTCAGCATTGTAGCGCAAACACTTGAGGCCCTCCAGCTAACCTGAGTGGATTCAACATGTTCTCATCATAACTTGTAAAATATTGCTGCTTGTACAGGTGACTTTCACCTCTACATATAACATGTTAGATATCCTCCTGCATTTGTTGTTGATGTTTCAGGATGCCGTGTCAATTTACACTTAGTACATGCATTGTTTGTTTTCAAAACAAACATACAATTTCTGCTCATTAGATGCATACGGTCATTTTCAAAATAAACTTACAACATTGGTAAAACACCTTATATTTATGTATGTTCCTTGTGCAACAAAAGCATGTGGTCAGGTTTAGGTAAAAAAAACATCATGGTTTGGCTTTACATTCATACAGGAAGCAAACAGCAGGCTCCTGGGGTGAAAGTCCAGTGTTTGTTGGACCCATCTACTGCCCCTCCCGCCCACCCTATAAGGAGTTTACAGCTCCTTATATTATATTGTTACTGGCAGCGTTTCCCCCTAATACCGTCTGTCAGTGTATAAACTGTTGCTGTCCTATGGCGTTTCATACTGCTGCAAATGGTGTCACTGACAAAGCTGCAGTATTTGATGTCTTGGGACTGATGACAGACTATTGGGTGTCTTAACTGCAGCACAGAACAGGTGAATTTTAACATTTTTTACAGTGAATATAGTGAGGATCAGTGGTGTAGTGGAGGGTATATGCAGGTATATGGGGTATCCCACCTCGCTGGCAATTCGATTGCCTTGGCAATCTGATGTCTCTGGATTGAAACAGGCCAAAAATATGTATCATGTAGGTAGGTAGGTATGGGAGATGGTTCTAAATGTATATATTTATTTATTTATTCATGTGTTACCAACAGAATGGTTGTTGATCTATGTCTGCGATACTCAACTTACAGCCCCCTGGCAAAATCTGGCCTCCAATAGGATGCTGGGTGCCCCCGGGTGCACCCCCCCCCCAATCATTTTCTATTTCACAATGAAAATAAATTGATTCACACTGGGATTTTTTTTCCTTTTTTTTTTTTTTTTTACTTTTAGTATAAATGCAGTACCGGAGTGCATAAAAAGCATCAAATAGAGCTTGTTTATCAAACAAGTGCCATGAGCGGATCCCTTGGACCCCCCAACAGAGGTCGGTCTATCCCCTAAAATGTCCTCAATTCCTAGAAACGCCTCCGTGCATACCTGACCTGTGTGGGGCTGCTACGTCTGGTCCCTGGCCTCCTGTCATTTTGCAGAAGTGGCCTCCGGGCAAAGCAAGTTGAGTGTCCCTGATCTACGTGATAAATCAAAGTGTTTAATTTTTTAATGTGTTTGGGTCCAAAACCATGCTGAGTGATTCATGTGTTTATGAATGCAGAGTTAATGTGACTGTAAAAACTGACTGTTATGGCCACTTATATTTTCATAAATGGATATGTTGACATCAATAAATTATATTTTTATACACTGGCTGTTGACCTCAAAGTGATGAGTAGCCAGGCAGACAGCCCACAGCTCAGTCTCTCTAAATGACTACTGACTTAAGGGCTATAAAACATTAATGTATCAGAAGCATATTTAATGAACTGTGGGTTACACAGATGAATAAAATGTTGATCACATCTGAGAACATTGTCTCTGTGGTTTCCATATAAACACACCCGATGAGGAGCATTATACCGATGATCAATTGTGCAAACATTTCTCAAGGTGAGCTTTTGCAGGAAAAAATAAATTTATTGTTTTGGTGATGCTTCACTGCTGAGACCCTTAAACGAGTTGCGTTTTTCAGAGATGTCATTAATTTCACTCATTTTTATGTCAGGGGACTACTACAAAAAGATTACATGCTTATAAAACAAACAAACAAACAAACATTGTTGCCACTGTAATGTCCATTGCTGCAGCACCTGCATTCACCCTCTGTCTAAAATGCTCCGTTTTAGCGCTTGTCTCTTTAAGGCTCCCCACCTGAAAAGCTCACTCTGCTTTTATTGGTCACAGTCTCCAGGTCATATGCATCTGCTCTGCTGGCATGTGGGTGGTGGGGACACCAGCACCATTCTGAAAAGTTAAGAGATTTTCAACTAGAAACGCAAGGAGCTGCCACACAAAAAAAAAAAGAAAGGTGGATTGTTCACAAAAATAGACACTGAGTGCAGCGATCACATATGCTCTCTCCTGCATGGGAACAATTGAAGTGACTTTGGTGCTCAGGAAAAAATGCCATATGGACCCTCAGCCTAAGGTTACATACAACCCATAATACAATACTCTGTCAAGGTATGAGGCTCACCCTGTAGCAGAGCCTGTGGTTGCTGGAGATGTTTTGTCCTCAGGATAGGATTAGCTGCTTGGCTAGATAAGCTTAGATGAAAGAAATGTATGTTTAAATGTTAGTGTAAATGTACTTGGATGTGATGTGGAGGAGAGATACAAGCAGGGATCATGATGGGTTGTGTCTGAACCTCCACAGGAAGATGCCAGAGTATATTTAGTTGGGGCAACTACTACTAAATATCAAGGGTTTAACAAAGTTATTTTTATAAACTCAGTTCAAAGTATAGAAATGTTTAAAACAGACAATGACAGCTGAGAAGCCAATGACTTAACTAACATGACTAACACTATCAAACTGGAAGTGTTTGAATCAGTCTATTGAGAGAACCTCTGTCCGACAGCTAGCTTTAGCCCCTTGTAGTGTGCTATGATAACCAGCAGATGGTGGTGTTTACCTTTGATAATAAGTGTGTTGAGGCTGCCACTGATCCTCCTGCCAATGCAGACAAGAAATGCCAGTGAGGTTAGAGAATATGGATTCATTGTGTGAGGTGACATTTATTTCACAAAAAGAAAGAATGTTATCAAAGACACTGACAAGATAATATTCAGAAGTCTCACAGGATTAAGCAAACCAACATGGACATCAGTAGCAGTGCTCTGTGAATGTCTAAATATATGTCCAAACTCAAATTGTACCAGTTTTTCCATCCGAGCCCTACAGCTGTTTTTTCTGTCCACCTGGTTCAATGCCAAAATGACAATCAAAAATGTGTTGAGAGATACTTTTTTACTGTAAATGCCAGCCTGCCTCTCACTTATTATTATACTTAGTACACATGCACACATACATTGAGGATAATTTTTTAATGCTTTGTATGAAAGACACTGTTTAAACAAGTATACACGACCACTAAGACGCATTGTGATTCCATCACTCAAACCACTTGCCAAGGTGGTGTAGGACCCATTTGACCTCATATCTTTTGTGATGTGAATGCTAATGTATCCATATGTGTCCTTGACAAGGACTACCTCATCAATGGTGACAGCGCACGAACGCTTTATAACTTGCCCATTTTGCAACGAGTTGGATGGGTCTTGCTTGACCGTCCGTTATTTTGCCTCATGGGGAGAGATGTGTTGGATTCTGCTGACTGCTATATCTCCATCTGAACTGACACAACCGCAAACATGTTGGTTGAGACTGTTGATGTAACATGCCAATCTGTTCTCATCCTAACTCATCAAATACTGACGCTTTGTCAGTGGACCTAAATGTCAAAATATGACTCACTAGGTAGCCTCCTGCGTCTGCTTTGTACGATCATAGGTGGTGTCTCAACTGATACTTAGCCTATTACATGCATTGTGTTTTTTTAAAAATACTTTTCCATCTTTACAAGAAACATATAATTTCTGTGTGTTACACACATACAGTCTTTTTCAAAATAAACCTACCACACTTGATTTTTAAGTTTATATCCTTAGGTTTAGACAACAATAGCAATAGTGGTTAGGTTTTTAAAAACAAAAACAAAAGTACGGTTCTTGTGACATAATGTCAGGTCATGTGACTTGTCATGTGACATACGTTACTAGTGCAGCATGCTACACTTACTAGCACACTACATTGTTATTGTTAATAACTCCCCTGACTTTTGGTTTCATGCGGGAAATGAGCCATGGGCTTCCAAGTAAAAGTCTGAGTTTGTTTGAGCCACTACCGCCCACCCTATAGGGACATTCTCGTTCGTCACTTTACGGTAGTTGCTGGAAATAGTCACCACCAGGTGCATATCTGTCATAAATGGTGCCTATATATTTCAGTACCTAAGGCTGAAATCACTGACAAAGCAAATCCCTTTCTCATGTCTTTAAATACTTCCTTGCTGCACACTGAACAAGAGGAACATAGAGTATTGGACCTGTTCAACAGTCCTCTGTCCTGCAGATGGTCACCAATCACTGACACACGTTTTTATCATCTAACACACACCAGTAGCCAGACTGAGAAAATATGTGAGAAAATGAGACAACACAGTCTTCTTATTTAATATACAGCCTCATTTTCAGAGTTTCTGTCCACATTTTGATCTGCATTGCTGACTTTTAGCTGTGTAGCAGAGTTTTCAGGTTACATGAAAAGACTTTACTAAAGTGTTTTCACTGTTGATTTCAGACATGATTAAATATGACCAAAGACGAAAAACAAACTTCAGGCACTCTTGCATGGAGCAGGGAAAGAAAAAAGGTAGCTTGATTACGTCATTAAAAAGCCTTTATTTTATTATGGCTTGTACAAAGACACTTAAAAAAAAACCCAACCAGTTTCGACCTCTTGGGTCTTCATCAGGGTTACAAATGGAGACATGATGTTCAAAACAGGCCTATTTATAGGCTCAACTGGGAGTGTCAGGGTCCTGATTAGTGAGTGGACACAGGTGATAGAACTCAAGTCAAATTAACAATCAGAGCAGTGTGTGTCCAACACATCAGCAACCAGCAGCAGTTTTTTGGAAGAGGAA